TAACTATAATGTTCATAATGCAAATTTCCTCTGCCAGATATGAATTGTTACGTTGATGCTCAGTCTACTGTATTGGAGTGTGCACCCCAAAGCTGAACACGCGTGTGTGTGTGTGTGTGTGTATGTACACACACACATTATATATATATATATATATATATATATATATATATATATACACACACAGTGGATATAAAAAGTCTACACACCCCTGTTAAAATGTCAGGTTTCTGTGATGTAAAAACATTAAACAAATATACTTCATTTCAGAACTTTTTCCACCTTTAATGAAACTCAGTTGAACAACATTCTGAAATCTTTTAGGTGGAGGCAAGTAAAAATAAAAAAAATATGGTTGCATAAGTGTGCACACCCTTAAACTAATACTTTGTTGAAGCACCTTTTTATTTGATTCCAGCACTGTGTTTTTGGGTATGAGTCTATCAGCATGGCACATCTTGGCTTGGCAATATTTGCCCACTCTTCCTTGCAAAAACACTCCAAATCTGTCAGATTGTGAGGGCATCTCCTGTGCACAGCCCTCTTCAGATCACCCCATAGATTTTTGATCGGATTCAGGTGTGGACCATTCCAAAATTGTAATCTTCTTCTGGTGAAGCCATTCCTTTGTTGATTTGGATGTATGCTTTGGGTCATTGTCATGCTGAAAGATGAAGTTCCTCTTCATGTTCAGCTTTCTAGCAGAAGCCTGAATGTTTTGTGCCAATATTGACTGGTATTTGGAACTGTTCATGATTCCCTCTACCTTGACTAAGGCCCCAGTTCCAGCTGAAGAAAAACAGCCCCAAAGCATGATGCTGCCACCACCATGCTTCACTGTGGTTATGGTGTTCTTTTGGTGATGTTCAGTGTTGTTTTTGTGCCAAACATATCTTTTGGAATTACGGCCAAAAAGTTCAACCTTGGTTTCATCAGACCATAACACATTTTCCAACATGCTTTTGGGAGACTTCAGATGTGTTTTTTCAAAATTTAGCCGGGCTTGGATGTTTTTCTTTGTAAGAAAAGGCTTCAGTCTTGCAACTCTACCCCACAGCCCAGACATATGAAGAATACTGAAGAATATTGTCACTTGTACCACACAGCCAGTACTTGCCAGATATTCCTGCAGCTCCTTTAATGTTCCTGTAGGTTTCTTGGCAGCCTCCCAGACCAGTTTTCTTCTCGTCTTTTCATCAATTTTGGACAGACGTCCAGTTCTTGGTAATGTCACTGTTGCACCATATTTTCTCCACTTGATGATGACTGTCTAAACTGTGTTCCATGGTATATTTAAAGTCTTGGAAATTATTTTGTACCCTTCTCCTGACTGATACCTTTTGTATTTCAATGGTTTTTATTGACTTTTTAAACGTTTTAACAAGATTTGGGCAACAAAACACGCCCACTCAGGGGCTATGAATAGCACATAAGGAATAAAGAGAACAATGCTCTAACACCAACAGAGCAGAAGGCGTGCTTATGCAGGGGCTATCAATGGCACATAAAATGCAAAAACAGTGTTATAACACCAACAGTAACTCAAGCCAAAGGCAGATATCTGCCGCCTCACAAAAATCAAGCAGAGATAAAGAGGAAAAAGGAGTAAAGAAGGAGGAAGAAGACAGGACTAGAAGCAGGGGTCCAGGAACGCCAATACCGAACAGCATCACAAACCCAGACTAGCCGCGGGGGGTGTGGGAAAAGCATATGTCAACCACGTCTCCCATATTTTCAAAAATTTTTGTTGGGAGTCATTCCCATTCCAGATACTCGACATCTGTTCATTGAGCATCAGAGTGGTCATACATTCCTGCACCCCCTGAAGAGGGACAGATGTACTTTTGCAGGCCCGAGCAATTGTTCTAGTCGCCAACAAGAACAAATATGAAGCCAACTTCTGCTGGTGAGCCAACAGGCCTGGTATGGGACAATGGAGTAAAGCATACCGAGCTCCCCAGCAAATGGAGAGATGAAACAAGGTGTAAAGAAGGCCAAATACACGAGACCAAAAATGAATCAGTCTTGGGCATGACCACATATATGCAACACATCTCCATGATGGCCACAACCCCAAAAGCAATGATCACTACAGGCAGAATTCACCTAGGCTAAATGAGCCGGGACCCAATATCAACAAAACAGTGCCTTGCATACCGCCTCAAGCTTGGCTGTATTAAATGAACATTTAGCTATAAACGACCAGGCCTTATTCCAGTCCTCCAGATCTACGACCACCCCCAGGTCGTGCTCCCACTGAGCAACATATGATAGAGAAGAACGCATCGAGCGCCTATTCAAAGACGCATAGAGTAGGGAAACAAGGCCCGGGGTGCCCGGATGCTGTTGGCAAAGCTGTTCGAAAGTAGATTTCTGATATGGAAAAGCAGAAGTGCCACTGTGGGGTCAGCCAGTGCCACAATTGAACATAATGAAAAAATTCCGCCTGAGGGAAATCCCGTGACTCCCGCAGAGAGTTCCAGGTGGGGAAGGACCAAGAAGTCAAAAAGTGTTGCACCTGCGAAAAACCATTGGCCATCCACCAACAGAACGCCCCTGGTTGATCTAAACCCGGTGGGGAAACAGGATTATTAATAATTGGGAGTAAAGGTAGGAAGGGTGATGTCAGGAATGGACTGGCCAGCAATGGTGGGACTCACCTGCCTTATGGGCTGTAGTACCAGGACTGGCCAGCGGGTGCTCCCAGCAATCAGAGACTCAACCTTGCAGCCAGCTAAACACCTGAAACTGCTTATACTGGTGTATTTAAGGGATGGCCAGACCTGCAGACTCTGCCTTGGTGTGTGTTTCTCCTGGGCCCTGTATCCTGTTCCTGCTCCCTGTTCCTGTCTCATTTATTGCTGACCCTGCTCTGGCTTTGTCTGACCATTCTCCTGCTCCTGATCCCTGGCTTTGTCTGACCATTCTCCTGCTCCTGATCCCTGGCTTTGTCTGACCATTCTCCTGCTCCTGATCCCTGGCTTTGTCTGACCATTCTCCTGCTCCTAATCCCCATACCATTCTCCTGCTTAACCCCATACGTTCTGACCTCCTGTTGATAATCCCGGCCTGCCTGACGACGCTTGCATTGTATGTACTGTTATCTGTGGGTGGTTTGGTTTGGTTCGTTTGCACTGTGTTATGTTTTAGTATTGCACTGCGTTTATGTATTGTTAGTGTTAATAAATTATATTTATAACATATCTGAAGCCTGCGTTTCCCTGCGTCAGTCACATACCTCTGGTCACACCCTGGAGCCCTGACATTACACCAAGGACAATCCTGACCAGAAGTGGCTGCACAGGGAAGCCATCTTGGCTTGTTGCTGGGAAGGATGGATCTTGATGAGGTTGTGTATTTATATCTGCTAGTGTTTGATGACAGAGAGTATGCTTATCAGACTCTGAGGGAGAATACCCCGGGATCAACTGCTAGAATGTATATGGATCGCTCATGTTCTAGTAGATCAGGGCACAGAATTCTCTGAGGTGCAGCCATTGATTCAGATTTGTGCGGAGTTGGTTTCATCTGGTACCCCCGAATGCAGGGATGAATTTTTGCCGCCATTTAGTGCCGACCAGGTAGAGTCCCTGGTGTAGTTATTAGAGGATGATGTGGATTACTTTCTGGAGCGTTATTCTGCATGTTCACCACAGATACTAAGAGATTGTATAAACGCAGTGCAGTCTTTGGTCAGACAGGCTTTGTGTAAGCTGAGCTTTGTTCAACCCATACTGCAGACATGGACAGATTTGTTGCCCCCAGCCTCAGTCAGCCTACAAAAACCCAGTCCTGCTTCTAATCTATTTCCTCAAAGCTCTATTCCTGCATTCCCAACAGCTCCTCCTGCCCTGCTATCTATCGCATGTCAGTACCCTGTTCCCCACTCGCTGCACCTATCCTGCCTTTAACCCTGTAAAAAAGCCCTCTGTAGCAACTGTTCCCTCCCCTGTTCCATCCTCCAGCTCTTCTCTGTCTCCAGCTGCTCCATTCGTTTGCAGACCTGCGTTTACTTGCAGTGCTCCAGTAGTTAAAACCAGAAAAAAGCGAAAATTCTTTCCAACCAATACCATCCTGCCAGTATCCAAACCGGTGAGTCTGCCGTCTGAGAACCTGCCTTCCGTGGTTCAGCCTGGTGCCTCGGCACCCGCACTTCAGCCTGAGGTCTGTACCCAGCCTGATGCCTGTACCCAGCCTGATGCCTGTACCCAGCCTGATGCCTGTATTCAGCCTGATGCCTCTACTCAGCCTGATGCCTCTACTCAGCCTGATGCCTCTACTTAGCCTGATGCTTGTACTCAGCCTGATGCCTCTACTCAGCCTGATGCCTCTACTCAGCCTGATGCCTCTACTCAGCCTGATTCCTCTACTCAGCCTGATGACTGTACCCAGCCTGATGCCTCTACTCAGCCTGATGCCTCTACTCAGCCTGATGCCTCTACTCAGCCTGATGCCTCTCTTCAGCCTGATGCCTCTCTTCAGCCTGATGCGTCTCTTCAGCCTGATGCCTCTCTTCAGCCTGATGCCTCCACTCAGCCTGATGAACTGATCCAGCCTGATGATCCTATTAGGCCAGTTGACTCGATGCCCGCTGTTGATCCAGACGATCCGGTACCTGATCCGGTGCTCGCTGTCGTGCCAATTGACTCAGAGCCCGCTGTCGTACCTGGTGACTCGGTGCCCACTGCCTTGCCAGATGACGCGGTGCCCGCTGGCGAGCCAAATGACCCGATGCCTGGTGACCCAGTGCCCGCTGTCATACCTGGTGACCCGATGCCCGCTGTCGAGCCAGACGATCCAATGCCTGGTGACCCGGTGCCCACTGCCTTGCCAGATGACGCGGTGCCCGCTGGCGAGCCAAATGACCTGATGCCTGGTGACCCAGTGCCCGCTGTCATACCTGGTGACCCGATGCCCGCTGTCAATCCAGACAATCCGGTACCTGATGACCCGGTGCCCACTGTCATGCCAATTGACTCAGAGCCCACTGTCGTGCCTGGTGACTTGGTGCCCACTGCCTTGCCAGATGACGCAGTGCCCGCTGTCGAGCCAAATGACCTGATGCCTGGTGACCCGATGCCCGCTGTCCAGCCAGACGATCCAATGTCTGACCCAGTGCCCGCGGTCATGCCAGTTGCCTCGGAGCCCACTGCCTTGCCAGATGACGCGGTGCCCGCTGTCGAGCCAAATGACCTGATGCCTGGTGACCCGATGCCCGCTGTCCAGCCAGACGATCCAATGTCTGACCCAGTGCCCGCGGTCATGCCAGTTGACTCGGAGCCCACTGCCTTGCCAGATGACGCAGTGCCCGCTGTCGAGCCAAATGACCTGATGCCTGGTGACCCGATGCCCGCTGTCCAGCCAGACGATCCAATGTCTGACCCAGTGCCCGCGGTCATGCCAGTTGACTCGGAGCCCACTGCCTTGCCAGATGGCGCGGTGCCCGCTGTCGAGCCAAATGACCTGATGCCTGGTGACCCGATGCCCGCTGTCCAGCCAGACGATCCAATGTCTGACCCAGTGCCAGCGGTCATGCCAGTTGACTCGGAGCCCACTGTTGTGCCTGGTGACTCGGTGCCCGCCGCTCCGCCTGGGGGCCCGAGACCTGTCGCTCCGCCTGGGGGTCCGGCGCCCTCCGCTCCGCCTGGGGGCCTTAGACCTGTCGCTCCGCCTGGGGGCCTGAGACCTGTCGCTCCGCCTGGGGTCCGGCGCCTGCCGCTCTGCCTGGGGGCCCGAGACCTGTCGCTTCGCCTGGGGGTCTGGCGCCCCCGCCGCTCCGCCTGGGGGCCCGAGACCTGTCGCTCCGCCTGGCGGTCCGGCGCCCGCCGCTCCGCCTGGGGGCCCGAGACCTGTTGCTCCGCCTGGGGGTCCGGCGCCCACCGCTCGCCTGGGGGCCCGGTGCCTGCTGCTCCGCCTGGGGGCTCGGTGCCTGCTGCTCCGCCTGGGGGCCCGGGGCCTGCTGCTCTGCCTGGTGGCCCGCTGCCTGCTGCTTCACCTGGTGATCCGATGTGCCTCTGCCCAGAGTCCTGCCCGATGTGCCGCTGTGTCCAGAGTCCTGCCCGATGTGCCGCTGCCCGGAGTCCTGCCCGATGTGCCGCTTCCCGGAGTCCTGCCCGGTGTGCCGCTGCCCGGAGTCCTGCCCGGTGTGCCAGTCTTTGATATCCCGCCAGTTTCCCGCCCCCGGGCGGTGGAACATTTTGCCCAGCTAGGACTGTTTGGAGCGTCCTGAGGCCGCTCCTTGAGGGAGGGGGGGGTACTGTCAGGAATGGACTGGCCAGCAATGGTGGGACTCACCTGCCTTATGGGCTGTAGTACCAGGGCTGGCCAGCGGGTGCTCCCAGCAATTAGAGACTCAACCTTGCAGCCAGCTAAACACCTGAAACTGCTTATACTGGTGTATTTAAGGGATGGCCAGACCTGCAGACTCTGCCTTGGTGTGTGTTTCTCCTGCGCCCTGTATCCTGTTCCTGCTCCCTGTTCCTGTCTGATTCATTGCTGACCCTGCGCTGATCCCTGGCTTTGTCTGACCATTCTCCTGCTCCTGATCCCTGGCTTTGTCTGACCATTCTCCTGCTCCTGATCCCTGGCTTTGTCTGACCATTCTCCTGCTCCTGATCCCTGGCTTTGTCTGACCATTCTCCTGCTCCTGATTCCTGGCTTTGTCTGACCATTCTCCTGCTCCTGATCCCTGGCTTTGTCTGACCATTCTCCTGCTTAACCCCATACGTTCTGACCTCCTGTTGATAATCCCGGCCTGCCTGACGACGCTTGCATTGTATGTACTGTTATCTGTGGGTGGTTTGGTTTGGTTCGTTTGCACTGTGTTATGTTTTAGTATTGCACTGCGTTTATGTATTGTTAGTGTTAATAAATATATATTTATAACATATCTGAAGCCTGCGTTTCCCTGCGTCAGTCACATACCTCTGGTCACACCCTGGAGCCCTGACAGGTGACATCAAGCCACTGGAATAGCATACCGAATCCCACACTTGGAGGCCATGTAGCAAAATTGGACCCAATGTCATCGGGCGTAGGGCAGGGGGAGCCCTAAAAGCATTGATGTCGCAATTGGGGCACAGTTAGGTAGTTCCAAAAGGACCTAGAGAGGAACATCAGAGGAAGCATGCAACATAGACAGTGGGGCAATCTGGCTTGCCTGGTAATACTTAGCTACATTAAGCACCCCAAGACCTCCCTGTAGTGTACGAACAAAAAGTGTATTTCTGGAGACTCTGGGCATCTGTCAGCCCAGATAAATTGCATAATACTTACTTGAGTCAACCGGAGGAAATGAGGAGGAACCCAGACTGGGAGAGTACAAAAACAATACAACAATTTAGGCAGGATGGTCATTTTTACCGAATTAACCCGTCCTATCCAGGATAGGTGTGGGAATTGTCAAGAGTGCATAAGAGAGGACACAGAGCAAAGCAATGGATAATAATTTGCAGCAAACAAAGAGCCATAGATAAGGTTCAGGAAAATGCCCAAGTATTCAAGAGAAGAGGAAGCCCATTTGTAAGGGAAGTGGGACTGTAGGTGTCAGGGAATGCGCATATCTATGCGCGGGTGCAGAACCCTTGTCAGCCCTGCTTGTGGCCAATTGGCGAATGCGCGTGCACGATCATGCACGCAGGTGTGCACAAGTGCACATGAGCGATGGCACATTGGTGCCAGGCGGGCTATTTAAGCTGGGCTTGTGCCTTGCATTAGTGCCATTTGGTCTTATACTTCTGAGCACCCGTACATCCTGTTACCTGTGATTCCGTGCTGTTCTGATCTGTTATTGACCATGGTAGAATGCTGCCTGCACTGACCCCTGGCCTGCCCTTTGACTATTCTTCTGCCTGCTGTTTCTGCTTACTCTGCCTGCTAGTTGCTGACCCGGACCGCCTGACCTTGCTTTACTCTGATCCTGCACCTGAACCAGCTTATCGTTGACAATATCCTGCTCCTGCAGTGTCATCTGCCAATCCACTCTTGCACCTCTGCCAGTGTGCCATCCACCAGCTGCTCCTGCATTCCATCCACAGAAGTCCTACCAGGCACTCGTGCACCTCTGTGCTCCAGCGCTCCCTGTTACTCTACCAGAGCCCCTGAGCCAGAGCTGCAAGGGAGGCCCTCCTCTGCACTTCAGGTTCTACCACCAGGTATGATACAGTAGGTGCAAAACCAAATCTAATGCCAAAGTAATATTGAGAGTGACAGTCTTATCCAATTTAATACGGAGACCCAAAATCAAGGAGAAACGCGAAAGAAGCTGTTGCAAGTTTGGGAAAGTTGTCAATAGATTAGTGAGAAGCAAGAGGGCATCATCCGCAAAAAGGGTTAACTTAAATTCCTGTCTCACGTAAGGAACACCTGATATATTACAATCAGCCTGGAGCACCACAGCCAGCGGCTCAAGTGCCAGGACAAAGAGCGCCGGGGACAGGGGGCATCCCCATCTCGTACCTCACCAAATAGGTAAGGGGTCTGAGAAATACCATGCATACTTAACCAAAGCCGAAAGGGAAGAATACAAAGCCTGAATCCAAGAGAGAAGAGAATCCCCAAAGCCCCAGCGGGACAGCACAAACCGCAGGTATTCCCAGGATAAAGAATCAAAAGCTTTGTATATGTCTAAAGACAGTAAAAATCCCAGGAAGGTGTATAAGGTGGACTACTTTACGAACATTATCACCTACATGCCTCCCAGGGACGAAACCGACTTGGTCCCTGTGGGCCAGACTAGGCAAATATTTATGGCCCAATATCTTTACATCCTCATTAAGAAGAGAAATGGGTCAACAGGCTTGTGGTTCCTGCACTTCTTCTGTTGTCTTAGGAATCATGGAGATATGAGCTCTAAGTGCAGAGGGCAAAGAACCCTGCCATAATTCATTGAAGTAACCAGCCAAAAGGCGCACCAACAGGGTCACAAATTTCTTGTAATAGAGACCTAAAAAGCCATCAGGACTTGGGGCCACGGTGGACCGTAAAGATTTGATAGCTTGAAATACTTCAGATACGGTTAGACCAGCATTGAGGGCTACTCGCGCCGCATTGGACAATCCAGGGAGTCGTAGATCTTGAAAGAGTGCTTCTGCCTGAGCTACAGGGAAGGGATCTGGTTTGGCGTACAGGTGTGAAAGGAAATCCATGAAGCGTGAGACAATCTGATGGGGATTGGAAGTGCAGCGCCCCACAGAGAGCAGCAACCCGACTGGTTTGTGGGGTTTCCCCACAGAATTGAGCTTCCTAGCCAGCATGGGACCGGGATTAGCATATGTATAAAATTTATGTCTGATCCAACGCAAGGCTTATTCAGCCTCTGAAGAAGCAAGCAAGTCCAAATCTGCAGTCAGGGCATCCCGAGTTTGTTTATGGGCCGTGGATGGGTGCAACTCCCAACGACCATCCGCAGAGGATAGTAGAGAGTGAAGGTCTGAAAGACAGTGCTCCCACTCCTGCTTCAGAGCCGCTGCCAGCTGTATAATGTGGACCCGCACTATAGCTTTATGCTCCTCCCACAGGGTCACTGCCGAAGAAACCAATCCCGAGTTCTCAGCGAAATACGTACGTAGGAAAGATTCATTTTTGCTGGCAGGTGACCTGAGTCGTCAATAAAAACTCATTAATGTGCCAGTGAAAATGGCACCGTGTCGACCCCGAAAGGGCAAGGAGTAAAACCAGGGAATTGTGGTCTGACCAGGGCAAGGAAGGGATAGATATCCACCTGACTAAGTGAAGCTGTTGGATATGCATAAATATGTGGTCAATTCTGCAAAAACTGTTATGGGGATTTGAGTAAAACGTGAAGTCGCGCTCATTTGGGTGAAGTTCCCTCCAAACGTCTGCCAGCCCCGTAGACTGGAAGAGAGAGCACATACGTTCCTCCTGCCCTACGTCCTGAGAAGGGGCTGCCCCCCTGGCATAGCGCCTATCTAGAGCGGAATCCAAGGTAATATTTGAATCCCCCAAAAGAAGGAGAAGGCCCTTGGAGTGTCGGGAAATGATGGTGCAAATATGGGAGAAAAATGTGCGTTGAAAGCAATTGGGGGCGTAATAAGAAACAAAAGTGACTTCCTGATTCCAGAGGGTGCCCTGCAAGAGCAAGTACCTGCTCGTGAGGTCCACTATATTCCGAGCACAGGCGACTGAGAGATTGCACTGCAAGACTATCACCCCTTCATTTCTCAAGAGCTGAGGCCATGTAAAAAGCGGGATAATGAGGTGAAAGATACCATAGGGCGGAGGACTGGGAAAACCTGGTTTCCTGCAGGCATACCAGGTCAAATTGTTGCGATTTGAGGTGATGAAACACTTTAGACCGCTTCTGAGGCAAATTAAAGCCTTGTATATTTTGTGAATGTACTTTCAAAAGGGGTTGAGCCATAGTGGGAGCAATGTAATCCACTCAGTAGAAAAGGAATAAGTCGGCCAACAATTTCCACTCCCAAGGACAGTGGGACCATGGCGTCCCGAAACCCTGCATAAAACAACAACAAAAAAAAAAACAGAAAACAAGAAAAGAGAAAAAAGACAAGGAGAGTATATACAATGGCACAACCCGTAGCACACCTATGGTGAAATGCATCCTAAACTCAAAGGATACC